TATTTCGAGTCCCAGGGAGGCTGCGGAGATTTCCTCCAGTACACGTACGTGTCCCGTTTGTATTTCAGAAAGATGAAAAGATGCATCTCGTCGGGAACACGTACGCGAGAATAGACCCTAGAAATTTATTTCTCCATAAATTGAGAAAGTTGGAAGATCGAACTAAATGTGTGTAGTCAGCACGTGACGAGAAAATCGGTCAGGGCTTGGGAAGATAAGAAGAGGAAGCAAGTCATCGAGGGTAAAGAAGTTCGACAGGCCTGATTTAAACAAAATACATTCCACGCAGATTTGACAGACGATGTCAACGATTTGCCCCTACCTAGAGGCCTAAAGACCTTCAGACTCGATGAAAAAAAAAAAAAAACGAAGGAGTCCTCCACGATTTTCCGTCAATTCAGGACGGAGAGAAATCGTTCGATTTCGACAAGGTGCAGATTACGTAGCAGGGAACTGGTCCGACACCGATAAAATTCAGTTCGCTTACCTGGAAGATATCGTTGGACCTCCGATCGACGCAGATCGCCTCACGAGCATTCTTCGACAGTCCGAGAGTAGAACATTACGTTCGAGTCGAAGGAACAGTCTCCCCGATAGTCTGCTCGCAGTAGGCAGCACGATCTACCGACGTCAACCACGTAAAAGCACGGTGTTTGCCCGGTTTCGTGCGTCGTAATAAATCAGCGCGCCACGCGCGAACGTCGTCCTTCGAGCCGGATCAACCGTGTCGAATAAACGCATAGTCCCGTGAGTAAACACAGGATTCGGCGCACTAAGGGTGTTTTCGCTGTTTTCAGCGTCGATCTCTCGCGACATGCGACGATCGGACGTCAATCACGAGTTTGCTTCTCGTTGAAATTACGCGTTACGCGATTGAATAACGCGTTTCACGGGCGATCATCTCGAACGAGTCTCGCCGTCGAATAATTAACGAGCGTCGCGAAATATTAATAATCCCTGGGGCACCACCGATTCTCAAACAGAAAGGGAGGGATGTCATCGTCCCGTCGAGTATGAAACGCCATGCCTCAGTAGAAATTCGATGCAACTGCGGAGACCGCGTTTCTTGTCGATTCTGTAATCTCTTAACCTCTGGAATGACACGCACGTCGAGAATTTTTTGTCCCAACATTGCGACATTTTCTCAGTTTCGAAGTGTATTCAAGTTATAACCCAGGCAAGACGAATAATAAATTTATGACTTCTCAATAATTTCCACTCAGTGGTATCATACCGACGAGTTCGAAAGGAAAGAATTATTGTGTACGGTTTTGGTCGCTCGTTACGGTCCGCAGTCGGTTGCCATCGCTGGTGGTTAATATCCACGTTGAAAAATTAAAAAAAAAATTAAAAAAAAAAGAGGGAAAAAAACGAGTCTGTTCGCGACATGGCATGAAAGGATAGGAAAAACCTTCACGCGCGTGTGGCGGGATGGGGTTGGTTAATTGATCGTTTCGGCCATCGAGCGGGGAAGCACCGTGAAAAAGATTCAAGTGGCCGTGTTTTCGCGGCGGTATAGAACGCGGTTCGTTTGCGTGATGGTTTTCCCACCGCTGATATTTTACATCGGGCGAAAAAAGCGTGTGTGTTCGTGTCACCGACGAGCAATTATTGCGACCGCCTCACCCTCGGCGAATTTGCCACGTGGCCGCCGCAAAACCGAGGTTTCGTTCAGCCCACGCGTGAATTCGATCGTTTAACCGTTGCGGATCGCCGATAAGTGTATTTTGTATTGTATCTGGTGCGCGTCATACATACACATACGGAACATATGGCATGTGATTTTTCAACGTTCAATATCTCGCACGGTGATATCAGTTGTGCCCGATTTTGTTCTGTGGTTTGAAATCTAGCCGAAATTAAATTCTTACGGCATTCGACGTCGTTTGCAAGTGTTTTACGTAGTTTTGCATAGCTTCGCGACGTTTCGAGCAGTACGTGTCGTTTCATAGATTCTTTTCTGTTTCATTCTTCGCGATTTCACGTTGTTCTTTAGTTTTCAATATTCATAATTTCACGTCGTTTTGCTTTCAACTAAATTTCCTTAAATCACGTATTTTATCTAGATCTAAGTTCATCGTCCTCGCAAATTTAGAGCATCTCACGCCTACGATCGCGATAAAGATTTTCTAAACTGCTGGTCGATGGTAAATTTTGAGAAGCCGCGAACGCGTTACAATTAGAACCAATGAATAATTCATCGGACAATTCATCGCGCACAATTAATCGAATCCGTCAAGCCGTTTCACGCCCGAAGGGATCTCTCTCCTTTCTATTTGAGAATCGGTGGAGCCCCAGGGTTTATTAATATTTCGCGACGCTCGTTAATTATTCGACGGCGACTCGTTCGAAGACGATCGTCCGTGAAACGCGTTATCGCTTAACGCGTAATTTCAACGAGAAGCAAACTCGTGATTGACGTCCGATCGTCGCATGTCGCGAGAGGTCGACGCTGAAAACAGCGAAAACACCCTTGTTCGCGCGTAGTGCGTCGAATCCTGTGTTTACTCATGGAACTATGCGTTTATTCGACACGGTTGATCCGGCTCGAAGGACGACGTTCGCGCGTGGCGCGCTGATTTATTACGACGCACGAAACCGGGCAAACACCGTGCTTTTACGTGATTGACGTCGGTAGATCGTGTTGCCTACTGCGAGCAGACTATCGGGGAGACTGTTCCTTCGACTCGAACGTAACGTTCTACTCTCGGACTGTCGAAGAATGCTCGTGAGGCGATCTGCGTCGATCGGAGGTCCAACGATATCTTCCAGGTAAGCGAACTGAATTTTATCGGTGTCGGACCAGTTCCCTGCTACGTAATCTGCACCTTGTCGAAATCGAACGATTTCTCTCCGTCCTGAATTGACGGAAAATCGTGGAGGACTCCTTCGTTTTTTTTTTTTTTTCATCGAGTCTGAAGGTCTTTAGGCCTCTAGGTAGGGGCAAATCGTTGACATCGTCTGTCAAATCTGCGTGGAATGTATTTTGTTTAAATCAGGCCTGTCGAACTTCTTTACCCTCGATGACTTGCTTCCTCTTTTTTTCTTCCCAAGCCCTAACCCGATTCCCTCGTCACGTGCTGAGTACGCACATTTAGTTCGATCTTCCAAATCTTTCTCAATTTATGGGGAAATAAATTTCTAGAGTCTATTTTCGCGTACGTGTTTCCAACGAGATACATCTTTTCATCTTTCTGAAATACAAACGAGATACGTACGTGCCTGGAATTCGAAATATCATTACACCCCCATTGAAAAAGAGGCACTTTCGAGAGGCACTTTACAAAAAAAAAAAAAAAAATTATTATATCCCTATTGGAAAGAGGAACTTCCGATCGTAAAATAATTTCGTACGAACTTGAACGCCACTTATTCGTCGAGGCATTCGCCAGTTGCACTTCCATTCGTCTTTCAACTACACACTGGCAAAGTGTGAACACTAAAACTCAGGTACACCCTGTACACCACGTTTCTCTCTCTCCAAATTTTCTCAAACAAAAACGAGAGGAAAAAAAGACGCCAGGCAACACGTGCTCGCCAATCTTAATCGACATAGTGATTGCTGGGTCTGAACGAGCCCCTACGTGCTCTGGAAGATAAATCGCGCCAGTTTGCAAGAACAAATTTCGCGATAAACAACAGGCGGTCATGGCGTTATCGCGCGAGCATGACAAAGCCATTCTTGTTCCCATCGTGGTGTGTTCCAAAGAGCGTGACACGCTCGTGGACTCATCCATTATTCACAGGTTCATCCCCCAACGCACTGTCGCGCGTTATTACGTCACCAGCCACGAAAAGAACCGGCAATCCCCGTTAGAGGGGCGAATGTCAATTGTGGCAGCCCCCCTCCCTCCTAGATGTCAATACAGGGGGAGATTAATTAATCGATTCACGTCGATTATCTTCGTTCGCGACGTTTCGCAAGGCCATTGTTCTTCGTTAGGCGAGCACGAGAGCGTAGTAACTAATCTAAGGAATTTTCTTCTTCGTTCGTAATCTGCCCCGTTGTATCTCGTCGTAGTTTATGTTTGATAGTTAATTGATGGTGTGGCATCGTTTTTCATCGTCTTGTTTCATTTCGTTTATCTTGGACCCGTATATATACCTTCGCGGGCAGAAGAAATTGCGTTTGAACCACTTGCGCTGATTGCGGACCGTAACGAGTGACCAAACCGTACACAACAATTCGTTGCTTTCTTTCTCAATTCTCGTCGGTACGGCATCACCGGGTAGAAATTATTGAGACGTAATAAATGTATTCTTTGCTTTTGCCTATTTTGTTTTGCTTAGATATACTTAAAAAAATACTGAGAAAATATTATAATTTTGGGACCAAAAAATTCTCGACGTGGGTGGTACGTCATTCCAGCGCAAGAGGTTCAATTGAAGACGAGGCATCTTCCTTCAAACGAATTTTATTCTACAGTTTCGACTTGTCACTCGTTCACAGGTAGAGGATGATCCCTTCCGTTAATTATTCTTTTCGGTTTCCAAATTGCAATTCTCCAAAAAAATTGTATTCCTTCCATCCGACTTGTCTGTTTCGCCCAGAATCGTCAGCCCTCTATCGTGCAGTTGCTGGGGACACCCTGTATGTACAGTATTCATCCAATAATCACTCAAAGTAGAATATCTCACCGCAAGAGGTAAAGAAGAAAACGGAAAAGTGACTGGTGAGTCGCAATAAAAGTCCGTTTCTCGATTCAGGCGAGCGGAACTTCTTTGAGTATTCCGTACGGTCTGGTGAAAAATCGTTCTCGTCCAACTTTCTTAATATGAACCCTCCTGATCCTGTGAAACTCGGAGCGTCTTCTGGCCTCGAGTCTTCTGGCCTCGAGAATGCCTTGTTAATCTCTTTTCTCTCTCGAAAAGTCGGCACACGCGAAACAGGAACATCGACGAGAAAGGGGAAAAAAATTGAAGAAGAAACGAAGGGAAGAAAATGGAGGAAGGAAGGGCCGGTTTTCGCGAGAGAAACGGCTAGGTTATTCATGATTTACCTGGTGGCTTCTTCGGCTACCACGAAGGCTGAGCCGGTGGCTCCACTCGTGTTTCGGGAACTCGACGCCGTATTTCTCCATGTCTCTTTTCCTACCTTCCTTGCCTCCGCCGAAGAAAAGAAACCCTCTTCCGACCAGTGCAACCACCGTGCTACTCCATCCTTCACCTGTCGGGCAGAAAAAGGAAATATTTTCAACTCACGCGCGCTACACACTCCGACTAAACGATCGCCCCTCCTATCTTAATCCGGTTTTCGCGATGGAGAATTATACGCCGGAGAACATTTTCCTTCTTTTTTTTTTTTTTTTATCTCTGGACAATATGGACAAACTAGACGCGATTGTTAATTGATAGTACATCGGGTTGTACAATACTGTTGATATTTCGTTTTTCGAGAACGTTGCAAATATATGTATATTGCAGAAGATGCAATGCATAATACACATAAGCCCCCAAAGTCGAAATTGAATCGAGAAATATGTGGCATGCAAATGGAAAGAACACGAATATATATATATATATATATATATATATATATATATATATATATATAATTCAAGTATAATAAGAAATTTAAACTATGATATATTCAAAAATGTTATTAAATATTTTAGATGTTATATTATTATATTATTAAATATTTAATAATATTATGTTATATTATTAAATATTTTAAATATTAAATATTAAATATTTTAAATAATAATATAATATTTAAAATATTATGTTATTAAATATTTTAAATATTTAAACTATTATAGTATTAAATATTTTAAATATATAAACTATTATAGTATTAAATATTTAAAATATTTAAAATATTATAGTAGTAAATATTTAAAAGGATCGTGTATTGTTACAGAAGATATTAGACTAGTGATTGTTGAGCGATTACATAAATAATTTACATTATTGTATAATATAAAATACTATATTTATATAAATATCTAAAAAATAATATATAAAAATATCATATATAAAATAAAGTATATATTATTTTATTTCTATATATATTTCTATATATATATATATACACATTGCGTGAGAAACTCAATGGAATATAAAAATGTTAAAATTAGATCCTATAGAGTAATTAATATTCAAATGATGCTACTTGAGCCTATAGGATTATAAACGTGTGTTTCGTAAAGTTTCTCGAAGGAGGAGGAAACGTTGTTTAGCATTGTTCAGTGTGTTCGAGGGTGAAGAAAAATCGATGTGATCATTTATAGGGAATTATGTAAAACGAGGGCCGGCTGGTGTATAATTGAGGCTTAAATTCCACCGTTTCGGTCAATTAACGGTAGTAAAGCAACGAAAGTAACTGTAACGGTTCACGAACACTGGGATCGTTGGAATACCGGGAACCATTTTTCATCAGACTGAAGGGAACGAGGAGGAACTCTTTTTTAATATCTCCTTGCTGGGAACTTCTCATTCGTTGTTTAAAAAAAAAATTGCGTTTTTTTAAATATTTCCCATAAATTTCGAAGTTTCAGTTCAACTTTAAACTTGAAACAGAAACCGTGTCGCGAGAGCCTCTCCCTGAGAATCGAAAATGTTTAATTCGATCACCCAGTTGCGAGACGATTTTCATAGTTTTTTTTTTTTTTTTTTTTTTTTTTTTTTTTTTTTTTTTTTTTTGATCATTTATTGTCCCTTCTTTCGAATTTTCATTATTTTTATAGTACCGAGAAATGTGCAAAAATTCACAGTCCATTGGTTAAAATCTGTCACATTTCATCGAAGTCTCGTACTAAAAAACAAAAAAATTTCATATTGATTTTGCGATGTTGCAAAGGAAAGCGACGATTTTTTTTTTTATCATTCTTCACCCCTTCTTTCGAATTTTAATTTATTCTCATTATCTCGCGCTGAGCATGGAAATCGACTTTGTTAATGAAATTATTAATTATTAATTAAAATCTCTCACGCTACGAATATTGCATTCGTGTAACCATAATTCTCCCTGAGAATCGAACAACATTTCACGTTAATTTTATAGCCGCGCGAGGGAACGCGATGATTTTTATGGTTTCCCACTTGCTCGTTCGAATTTCCATCCCGCGGTGTCTCTAATAGCTGACAGGCTGAAAACGCGCTCCAACTATTTTTGTTCACTTGCAAAAACGACTCCTCCGGCGGCAGGCAATCGCGCGTGAAATTGCCCTCGCAAATTTGTTTCTGCGAGGGAGCACCGCGAAAATTCGCGGCGAAAAACCGGCCGAGATCCATTTCCGCTGAATATTGCGAATTTCCGAAAAGCCAGGGGGGGGGAGGATCACGGTCGACCCTATCCCGCAAACGAAAATCGTTTTCGATCGCGAAAGTTTCGCCACTTTCGTTCGAGTTTCGACGAAAGAAAAGAAGAAAAACACTGCCGGTTTTTCTTTTCTTCCGTTTAAAAATTCGTCGCGACGCGAGATACGAGCGTGCTCTGTTGATTTTGTCGAATTTTTGCCGCGAGGCGCGAAAACAGCGATAGAGGAGCATCGCAGGTCTTTGAAACGTTTTTACTTGAACGTAAAGTGAAAAGACGAAATGCAGCTATATCGTTTTCTTGAATTTTATATTTCAAGCGTCCGAAATTTTCTTCAAGTTATGATTATTCGAAACATAAGAGGATTTTTTTTTCTTTCAAATTTAGTGCCGAATTTAGTTCTAAACACATAAAAAAAGGTGAATCTTGGTATTACTCGGAACAACGAGCTTTTTCTTAAACCTAGTGCTGCACTAGGTTTAAAATGGCGTAAATTGGACAGAAATTAAATTATTGCTAAATTACATAGAAGTGTAAACGAAAGAAAACATGCACACTGTGGAAAATTACGAAAGAATTGCGAGAAACTGTGAAAAATTATATAAACTTATACACGACATAAAACTGCGCAATGTTATAAAAATTTAAACGCACATTATATACTTTATATAAAAACTGAAAAGCACATGAAATCGCTTTTTACTACTTTTCCACATTTTCCATAGTTTTTCACAGTTTTTTATAGTTTTTGTAGTTCTCTTCTGGTTTAGTTTTACTCTGGTTGGTTTAGTTATTTTTTCGCTATTTTTTTTTTTTTTTTTTTTTATTTTTTATATTTTAGACTTTTATTTTTTTTTTTTTTTTGCAAGAAAGAAAAGCCTATCGACAGAGGGGAAGAAATTCGAAG